TGCGAGCTGTTGCTTTGATCCTGGTAAAACCTCAGACGTGTACTGTCACTCCGAGGAACCCTCAGGAAATGCGTTTCCTTTTTCCAGAACCGCACCCACCCACGTCTACGTGAACGAAATAATACAATTGTCGCAGCGCTGTGGTGTTCCCAAGCTTATTGGTGCAAGAAACTGGACTGCTTCTGGCTCCGCCGCAAGTCCTGTGATCTGTCCTGTCCTGTCCTGACATTGGACCTGACCTTGAGACCTAGGGACCTAGGGAAGTCCTTGAACGTGATATCGTACTTGAAGGATATTGTACTCTGCAGTGAACCCCTCTTAGTGAACCAAACTGCAATACTGGACGGTTGAAGCACGGGGCAAAATTCACGCCCACTCGAGCAATAAACTGGACTCTCGTTGGCTCAGGCCGCAAGTCCTGGAACCTGATCTGTGATAATGAAGGCTATTGGCACCCACAACGGCTGTTTCCATTGTGATGAAGTTTTTGCTGTATACCTTTTACGACAGCTCCCGGAATTCAAGGATTCTGTGATTATTCGTTCACGGGATCCTAAGGAGTTGAATGCATGTGATGCCGTGGTCGATGTAGGGGGTGTCTATGATCCTGAACAAATGCGATTTGACCATCATCAAAAGTACGTTTGATTACTTCACTATAATTGTTTTAGAGGGTTCGCTTTGACATGGAGTGACTTTTTTGACACGGGAAAGTGGAGTGTCAAACTAAGCAGCGCGGGGCTGGTATACGTGCATTACGGAAAGAAAGTTCTCTCTTTGATGACAAACCTCAAGGAAGACAGCATCGGGCTTCACAGAATTTTCATGAAGGTGATCTAATTAAAACAATGATGATTGCCAGGTCTACGAATCTTTCGTTCTGGAAATTGATGGTACTGACAACGGTGTTTCTCAAAGTCAAAATAGTCTGAAGTCAGATTACATTGATATTGTTCATTATGTCAGAATAGGTATCATATTCATACCGGCTTGTGTTCGAGGGTTTCGAGGTTGAATCCATGGTGGAATNAGTAAGATTTGGACGAGTACATACAATGGGCGTGAAAGAACGAGAACATTTGATGGACCAATCGGTTTAGCAAGGATAACCTTATATGGGTGTACTACTTTCTGCCCTCAGCGCTGAAGACTGGATGAAACAGCATTGTATTTATAAATTAACAGTCACTATGAAGGTTTAATTCACTACTCAATGAACCTCACCTCGAGGCAATGTTGCGTTCAGATTTGCATATTATTGAAAGCTCCCATGATCTCCAACGCTTAGTGGTCCCCTTTTAAGTTCAGTTCAGTTCTCACAGGACGAATTGGGCTCTTGCCAATCA